TGTCCCTACCCTGAGCGTCTCTGGAGCAGTCCCAGCTCCGTGCAGCACCCTACTTCTGCACTCCACCCGCCCTGCATGCCCCACCTACCACTCTGAGTGTGCCGACCCCACCCTGGGCGTTCTCCCCACCCTCCGTGTTCCACCCCCACCCTGTGTGCTACCCGGGTCTCCTGAGCAGTCCCAGCCCCCGCCCACTAGCACAAGCGCTGCTCTGAGCACAAACACAGATGAGCAACGGCTCAGCGGCTCAGAGAATGAGCCAATGAGATGCTATTGTAAAAAAAGGGGGCCAATTTTTGGTTCACACCAGCCTTTTTTTACATTCTCAAACCATTTAATCAAGGTTTATTTGGGTTATAGATAAAAAAAAAATGCCTCCACCTAGTTTGCCAGCTGGTCAAAATGTTGCTAAAACTAGTTAAATAAACCATGATAAAAAAACAATAGACAAGACTTGAACTGATAAACGGGGAAGTGGCCACCTGGTAATTTTACCAGCCTTGTTTATCAATTAAAGCCTTCAATAATCTCTATAACCTTATGTGAGATACCTCAACTAAAGTTCATATGACTAAGAGAATTCATTGTTGCTAATTTGATAGTGTACTCATGCTTTCAAATATAAAATTGGGATTGTTTCTGCTGCCTTTTTCTTGTGTTCCAGCCATGACAAATGTTTTCTTTCAGATCCAGACACGCTTAGAGAGGTTTCACAAATTTCTTCAGTGATCAAATGTTAAAATGCTCATGGCTGATAGCCATTTAATGTTCTATGTTAATTTACTGCCTGTATTGTACTGTACTGTTACCAATCTTCTAGATGTTTAACAACTAAAATTAAGAGGTAATTATAAATTCCTTTCAATTCCTTTTGCTCAGAACCACTAGATCTTTTCCAGAAAAAAAAGTTATATGATGCAAAGCAACAAGACCAACACTGGGACAGAGGCCAAACTTAAGCCTTTCCCAGCCTGTCCACCTCCACTGGCTTATCCCTCCATCGAGCCATAATTAACTATACTCAACTGGCTTTAAATGATACTGTAGTTGATCTCTCTCCTAAATAAAAAGGTAAAAATTAATAAAACAGGCCATCCTCCAAAAATCAGATGGCATCAGACATTTTAATAACATAAAGAGATACTTATATGTGACATAAATGACACGTCAGTTCCTAAAATTCCCTGGACCTTATCCTCCTTATGGAAAGCCATTACTAAAATCATAAATACTCTGTTGATTGAATTTGACTCCTGCATACTTAATTAATTCTACAGATATCTTCTACTGTAGACCAGATCCTAAGACAAAAGGCTAAACTTGGCCCTCAAACCCCACAGGGAGACCTTAATATGCCTTTTCATGTTTTCAGTAATAGAGCTAGCAGTGACACTTGGAGTTCTGAGACAGGTAAACTGACACAAGATGGAGCTGTCTGAGCCTTCTCCATGGACCATGCCTTGAATGCAGCGGAAGGACACTGGGCAAGACCATGCTCCATCCTGGCATTCCTTTGAGACCTTACCCCAGTGCTACTGGACTGTCCTAGCCACCAGAGAGTGGGTAGGCCATCCCAACTTCTAGCCCTCACAGGAAATGCCAACACTGCCAGATTCATCACTGATAGAAACTTGCTGCTAATGACTGATGGGGCTCAGGGCCCACAGCCCCCATTAAGGTGTCCTCAGAGTCCCAAGTCCCACTAAAAGTCTCAGGTAAGACATTCTCTATACTTGTGGACATAGAGGCCATGTATAGGGTTCTTCCTGAGTTTTCAGGCCGCTATATTAAGTCCTCAGTCTTTATGGGGATATTGATGGCCAACCTATGCCATTTACAACAGGGCCTATTTCATGCAGATTCCAGACTGCTTCTTCCCAATCTACCCAGTGGTACCAAGTCTTCCCTCCACCATTCACTTTACAGTCCTAAATCTTAAAAATGCCTTTTTATTCCTTTGTGTTTATACAGACTGACCCAGACACTCTGAGGTCTCAATAGCTTACACCTGTTATCGCTAGTAAACCTCTCCTCAGAGACACATATCACCCCCTTCCTTTTCTATTCACCAGTTTCTCAGACACAACCCTGGTCAAGATTTAACAGATAAATTTTATCTTCTGACCTTTGTTTATACTTTTTCAGGATACATAAAAGCCTTTCCCACAACCAGGGAAACTGACTAAAGTCCTGTTACAGCAAATCATCCCAAGGACTACAACCAAGATAAAATGGCCTGGTCTTCTTGGCAACTTCAACAGTGATCAAAGTTGCTAGACTACGATCCTGGTTTCACATCACTCAGGCTAAGTGGCACCCTTCTAGCCCTAGATCTAACCATCCTTTTGCCCACTCATCTCCACCTCACCAAGGCCTCACAGCCACAACTCTCAGTCTGTCATGTTTTGTTATCCAATTTGGTTCCTAATTTCTTATCCTTTTTTACAGAAGGACTCTCAACAGTGTTTCCTAAAGACTTCCACATCATGCATACCAGAGACAAGTCTTACCTACCTACCCTCTTAACTTTTACCCTTTCAGATGGGGAAATAATTACCTCTCATAACTTCACTCCTCCTAACCCCACACTTATTTTTCAGAATTCTACCTTACCATGGCAATGATTCTACCTCAACATGGTCCTGATAATGACATATCCAAATCAAAGGCACCTTTCCTTTTACCTCACCTGGATCCTTAAATATGATAGTGGCCTGCCTCCTCATAACACCTTGTCTTTTTGTTTTTCCAGTCTAACATGTGGGCATTCATCAGTGATAAAGTTGTTGTGATTAAAACACGTGGCATCAGCTTCTACATGGGTATCAACTGTCATCCCGCCGACACTCCTAAACCCCAGTACAGTGCCCCCTTCCAGCAGGAAGCAGTAAAAGAAAGAAATCTTCGCCCTTTTTCCTAATAATCAAAAGATGGAAATGAAAGGTTTTTGCCTCAGATGGGACACTGTAGCCAGTGAAGCTGGGAGGTAGAACCAAGAGGCTCTATCTTGAGGTCATATTTCTGCCCCTAGGAATTTACATGTGGCGCAAAATGAATACCAATGGGCTACCTGTGCATCACTAATGCCCCTTAGGCACCACCCCAAACCTAAGCTACATGTATGCCCCCACACCACATGTTTGGTGGAGAGAATGCCAGACCCCAGAGGGTCAGGGGGTCTCTCCCCACATTCTTAAAATAAAGGCCATTTATATTTCATACTTCTTATCTTTTCAGCCACACCAAAATCCTATCAAATGGTTCCCTTCCACGCCAATAATTCTATCATCAAACATATTGGGAAAAAGGGAAAGAATGTCACTTTAAAGACCATTAAAAAGTGCCAGGGGTTTAGCACAGTGGCACAAGTATCTGCCCTGGCAAGTGCAAGTCACAGTTTGATCCACAGTACCAAAAGAAAAAAAAAATCATAAAAAAAAGTAGAAACAGTTTATATTATTATTAGCAGTTTCCAAAACAGTTAATTTCTATGCTCTTCCTGAAGCTGCTGAGAATGAATATTTGCATGCTGCTGCCAAAGCTATCTTTGCTATGGGCTTTGAAACTGGCCATTTTTCAGTGAGTGTTAATTCCAAGGTCAGTATACTTTATATAGTATTTTCGTTACTGATTGACCACATTCGTCCCAGAAGACCAAGACGAGCTAAAAATGCCTGTCACCTAATGGGTCACAGTTGTCCTCACAACATTACGGAGCAGCTGTTACATGTGCATGGGAATGCTGGTGTAAACATGGCTAGCACATGGCTAGGTACACCAAAGAATAATACATTCGGCTGTTAGGAAGAGTGCTGCGATAAACATGGAGGTGTAAGTATCTTTGCTATAAAGATTTCATCTCCTCTGGACACATATGTAGTCATGAAGTTATTAGGACTCATGGTAGGTGTCTTTTTCTTTTCTTTTGTTTGATACTGAGGGTTGAACCCAGGACCTCTGTGTGCTAACTAGGCACTCTATTTTAGAGTTTCTGTGTTGTCCAAGGTGCCATTCTCAAATGTGCCATACTTCTGCCTCAACCACCCAAGCACCAGAATTGCCAGTGTATACCACCATACCTGGCTCTGTTTCTTATTTTTAAAGGAATCTCCACACTATTTTCCATAGTGGCTGTACTCTTCATATTCCCACCAAATGTGGATCAGTTTCCATTTGTCTGTATTGTCACCATTTATTTCTTGTATTTAATGATACCCACTCTTAACTCGGTGATAAGGGATGGTGAAAAGATAAAAGGGAAGGAGGACGGAAAGAAATTAAAGCCAAGGATATAGCTCAGTGGCACAAGTGCCTGCCTGGCAAGCACAAATTCCTGAGTTTGATTCCCAGTACTCTCCCCAAAGAGAAAAATCCAAAGAAATTAAGAGGAACTTTTTAGAGCCTAGAAAGGGATCTGGAGGAGGAGGCCTAGGCAAAAGGACAGATGAACATGATCAATGCACCGTTATGTATAAATGAAAATAGCAGAGGAAACTCCACTAATTTCTACCACTAATACAGTTACAAACAGTACATAAGCAACTGTGGTACTGGTGGTTTACATATTTACTATATCTATGTATTTTTATCATTATTTTGGAATGTGTTTCTACTTGTTAAAAATCTTACTATAAGGTTTGCAGGTGCAGCTCAGGGATAAATCAACTGTCTAGCATTTGTGAGTCTACACTGCAAAAACAAAACACAAAGACCCCAACCCTTTCTCAGTGTTTACTATTTCTTCTGCAGAATAAAAAATGAATTCATCACAGCATCTGGGAAATTATTTTTACCACACAGCACTGAAAAAAGATTTCTTCATGTGTGTCACTGTGCAAAAGCATTTATGTTTGGAAATAAGATTTAGATAACTTTTAGAAGGACTCATGGCCAATTTTTGAGCACAACTCTGGAGATAACTTTTAATTATCCTTATTCATCATAGTTTTAAAAATGTGCCTACCCCATTTTAAATGGAATGCTTTATTATCAAAGCTTACCTGGCATAGGTCTTCTTTGTTGGCTAACAGTCTCAGGTTAATATCTTTGATTGCTGCATGCTTATGAGGTATTAATCTATAGAACTCACTCATCATCTTTTCCAGTTGTTCTGCTGTTTCTCCATTTCTCATTGCTGTCTTTACTAGGAGAAGAATCCCCTCTGCCTTGCTTACCTTGAGGTGGAAAGCCATATATATACTTATTAAAATTTAATTTTAAATTAAATATAAATTTAATATTAAAATTTAATTTTAATAACCATAGAACTGAAGTGCCATGTGAAAAATTACCTAAAATACTTGTTGTACATATTGTAGCTATCAGTTTTGAACTAGATAGTTGATGCTACAGTTTGTCTCTTAAATGCCCAAAGGTTCTGGTGTTAAAGCTGGTTTCAGGATATTGTAGACCTTTTAAGAGTTGTGGCCTACATCACTAGATATCAGGTCTTCAGGTCACTAAGAGTGCCCTTGCAGACAACTATAGGACCCCAGCCCTTCCTCTCTCTGTTTTGCCTTCTGGCCAGCAAGTGAGCAGTTTTGCTGTGCCACACATCCCTGTCACAACATGTTGTCTCATGGTCCTCAAATCAATAGAGCCAAAGAAATCACTTCACTTTTTAGGGTGACTGTCTCAGGAACTTTGCAACAGTGATGGAAAGCTGGCTTCTATAAGCATAGGATGATCTTTACTGGAGATAGCTTAGCTGTGACAATGATACCTTGAGGGTTCTTCCAAAACTGGCCTCGACTTGAGTAGCGGAAAGGACCAGAGCCTTGTATTTCTATATATGTGTGCACATTTATACATATTCATACAATAAGAGAAAATTAATGCAATTAATACTTATTTTTCATATGACAAATGTAGAAGGACCTCAGCATCAAAGCAGGAACAAATTCTCCAGATCATGTTTCTAATTACACAAATGCTTAGTGGACCTGACCCCAGGAAATCTTTTTCTTCCTAAAACAAGTTGACTTAATTCCATATGAGAAAATTGCCTGTATTATCTTCATACAATAAGGTAGTTGAATAAATTGTACCTTTGGGGATATCTTCTTTCAGCTGCAACTGTACAGCTATTTACTAGTGTGCTAAAAACATGTCTGCCTTTCCTAAGAACGTCAAAAGGTGAAGCAGTTGCAGTGCAACATGTCAGAGTCTCAGTATGTAACTGGGGACCAAAGCTGTCCCTGCCCCTTGGGCCTGTCCCAGAGGCTCAGGAAGGGATGTCTAATTTTCTGACTTTTTCTTCCCTTAGTTGTCTTATGTGTCCCCTTTCTCCAGGGAACAAGCAAAGAACAGTCAGGAATAAATCCCAGGGCCAGCATACAAATGTGTTGCTATGTAAGTGAATAAACTAGGAAGCACATTCTGTGTCCATGTCACACATGACTCACATCATTGAGGCTGATCTTGCTCACAGGTGTGATGAGTATGTGCTCCAGGTGGCCTTGAGTTTCTGCCCAAATCATTTCCACCAAATCGCTCACCTCCTGGCTCAGAGTGCTTGAGTTTATGACCTCCTCCAAAAGCAACTGCAACAACAGAATAAGAAAGAATCACCACAAAATCATTACAAATGACTGTCTTTAAAACTAACATGTGTCAGGCATGGCAGCGTACAGCTATAATCCCAGCACTCAGGAGGCTGAGCAGGAGGATCATTATGAGTTCAAGGCCAGCCTGAATTACACAGGGAGATCCTGTCTCAAAAAAAGGGGGCGGGGGGGCAGGGATATAGCTCAGCAGCACAGCACCTGCCTAGTAAGTACAAGGTTGTGAGTTCAACTCCTTGTATCAAAAAATAAAAATAGGGCTGGGGATTTAGCTCAGCAGCATAAGTGCCTGCCTTGCAAGTGTGTAGTCGTGAGTTCAATCCCTAATACCGATAAAAAAGAAAAAGACAAAAACAATAAATAAAAATAAAAATAAAAAATAAAACTAACATGAAGCTGAGTGTTGGGGCACACCTGTAATCCTAGTATTCAAAAGGCTGAGGCAAGAGGATTGCCATAAGTTCTAGCCCAGCCTGTGCTACACAGTGAGGTCAAGCCCAGTCTGAACTATAAAAGACCTTCTCTCAACAGGTGGTGAACTAAAGAGGTGGGGTCTGGTGGGAGGTGATTAGATCACAGGGTACTGTCTTCCCTCAGAAGGGACTAGTTCTTTTCTCGGGGAACAAATACCGCTCCGCTTTCCACTTCTCCCACATGCTGTGCAGCAGCCAACATCACTCCCTGCCAGGATGCTGATGCCATGCTGGTTAGACCTCCTAGTCTCCAGAATTGTGAGCCAGCTGGGAGCCAAATATACTTCTTCACCTGTTAAATACTTGGACTTAAGTATTCTGGGATAGCAACACAAAATGCTTTAAGACGCCAGGTAACTATAACACACCAGGCCTCCTCCCTGTGCTGGATTCTCTGTACATTTCTTCAGCATTCTCTTCTCTGTCTCTACCCCCACCTCTCTTCTTCCACCTTTATTTTCTGTCTTGTCTTTCCCTTCACTCTGTAAGCAGTAGGCCTATCAGTGACATTTAACTCAAGTGATCAGTTATAGATACTCAATTCAGCCTCAAGTATAATGAAATCTTTTGAAAGCTGTAAGGGTTCACTGCTGAAATAAAGAATCAGTCTCGAGGCTTTCCTGGAACTTATCCCACATTCTTAATCTGTGCCTTTCTGTGAGTTTAACTTTTCTTTCCTTCATCTTCATCTTTTCTCTTAGCAATTTTGTTTGTAACAAAGAAAACATTTCTATTAAAAATACTCATTAGGGTCAGGGATGTAGCTCAATGGTACAGTGCTTGCTGAACATGAGCAAAGGGTTAGGTTTGATCTTTGACTCTATAGGGAAAAAATTTCAATCAGTCTTACTGCTTTCAATTTGTCAGATGCTAACTGGGTTGCTTCAGCTGTAAAATGTTCTCTGAGCATAAATCCTTGTTTCTTTAATGCTTCGATGTAGTTTTCATAATATTCACTTGCATCTGCAGAGGTTTTCTTTAGAGTGAACTGTCTTCTAGTCTGTAAATTACAGTACACAGAAAAGGTACAGTATCTTATCAACACATCCATTTTTTTGAACATCTATGTATTGAATATAGGGCATTAGACTCCTGCCATGAACAAGTTTAGAAACTGGTTTCTTTGGGTATTACTTAAATCTCTCATTTTTCACAAAAAGGACTATGTCTTTGTTTCTTTTCTCTTACTACTGAGATAAAATGCTCCACAATTAAGGGAGGAAAAATTTTTTTAACTCACAGTTTGTAGAGATTTCCGTCCATATTGGTTCCAAGGCAGAGTACCACAAGGCAAAAGGCAACAGTTCATGGCAGAAGACAGAAAAAGCAACAAGAGCAAAACAGGAGGCAAGCCTCTTTCCCTCCCTTATATTGTATGCAGGCTACCTGCCCCAAAGTGGGTGCAGCACTCTACCAATCTCACCAGTAGACAATGAACCAATCACAAACTCTAGATTCGCTGCCTCCAAAAAGCCCACCCCTTTATGACTGCATGAAGATTTGGGAGGATATCCAGACACAAGCCACAACAGACTAAAACCTGGAGATAAGGGGGGAAAAAGTCTAAGTGGGTACAATAGACAAAAATGACCCATTTAATTTCCAGAAGAGCTACTCAGATCTTACCTTATATGCTATGCTAATTAACTTTTAAATCTGACTTCTGGCCTTTTGGACTGGGTACATCTCTGGGCGGCATGTAGGACCCAGACCCATTTTACAAGAGACATGGGCTTATGGAGCCTGTTACAAGGGATACAGGTGGGACCTATCCCCTGGCAGATCCTATACCTTCACAATGTGAAACTCCTCCATGCTCCTGAGCAGACACTGAGGTGGGGCCACAGTGAGAAGCCTTCAGAGTCCAAGTGGACCCCATAAGGCCCACTACAACTGAGAAGTTTACGTGTGTCCTGCCAGCTGCTATGTTTCTGGCATGCAGTAGCCTGCCAGTCTGAGTATCACTGGTGGGGTTGCATGTTCCATTTGATTTTGAGACATCGAGTTTGAGCTTGTTTTTGTTTAACCGTTTCATTACACTGGAACAGAGCTCTCCATTTAACACTGACCTTGGAAAAGGTGTCATGGCAAAATCTCTATTGCTGATCCAGGGTTCTGTGACCTTAAGCTCTCAATATTTCACATACATTCCAATATCTGTTATAGTTTGTGTCTAGATGTTGCTTCAAAGCCTCATGCAATCAGAGTTTTTTCAGAGATGGCTAAATCTAGAGTGCGTGATTGACTGGTGGTACGATATTGGGATTAGGGGTGATTGAGTGTTGGATCAATGTACTGATTGGATTGGTACCATCCTAATCCCAGCAGTCTGGATAGAGTATAAAAGGGGAAGAAAGATTTTGTTAAAGTTTGACTGTTGCTTGTGCTATCTTCTGCTGCCATGAATTGTTGCCCCTCTACCGTATGCAACTCTATCTTGGAGCTAACCAATTATGGCCTGAAACCTCCATAAACTTCAAGCTAAATAAACCTTTCCCCTATTATCTTTGGGTGTTACATATTTTGTCTCTGCAATGAGAGAAAAGTAACTAAGACAATATCATAACCATTGCAGTGGACTACAATGAAGAGTGTGTGATATCTTTCCATACTGGTGATTTCTGAGGTCAGGGCCCGTAACACTTTTGTTTTTTGGTCCTAGCCCTAGCAGAATGCTTGGCACACAGCAAGACATTGATGAAGTATGTTGATGAATTGCTTAAAAGATATACACATTAGAAAATATCCCATAAACTCTATAGACCAGGAATAGGAATCCTATACCCTCTGTAACCTAGTTAATGTTCTCCTCTGGCAGAAACCTTGCCACTCTATTTAGAGGACCAAGTATTTACTTCTCACATTCTGAAAGAGAATGCATTTCCATACTGAAGAACTATTTACCAGGTATTATGGGCTGAACTTTGGCTTTCTTCCCCATTCATATTCTGGAGTCCTAAGCTTACTCAGTTCCTCAGCAGGGAACTATGGAAGGTAATTAAATTAACGCTAAGAGACAATGAAGTTAAACAAAGTCATAAGGATTAACCTATACTCTACTTATTAAAAAAAAGAAATGAGGACACACAGCAAGAAGGACAGAAAATCTAGAGGAAATCAGACTCATCTTTAGTCCTAGACTTCCAGTTCAGCACTGAGAAATAAGTATCTGTTGTTTAATCCACCCAGCCAATGAATAGCAGACTATTTATAATAGCCGCAGCTTACTTAAGATAACAAAACAAGGAGAACAAAAACAGTTTTAAGGAAACTAGGAACAAAAGTGGATCGATACAGAGGTACCGATATAAAAAACATCACCTGTATGCTATCAGCCAGCAGGAAGTGTGCAGATATCAGGAAAGGATGGTCCCCAGGCTGCTGGGCACACTGCAGCTCTACCACTACAGTTTCCTGGCCTCTGTCCACTCCCACCTGGAAAACAGCGGTGTCTCCACAAGTGTGCTGAAGAAAAACTAGTCATACACTGTACCTGAAGATGCTGATTACAATTACAAAATAATACATGTTTCTTTAGAGATGCAATTTAGAGATTATATAAAAGTACCAAGAAGAAAATAAAAATCACCTGAAATCCTACTACAGAGAGATAACCACCATTTAAATTTTTATATTTTCCTTGTATATGTATACAGTATACCACTTTTTATTTTTTCCTTACCACAGGGGAAATGTTACTTTCTTTTATTTTTTTTTAAAGTGGGATTTACTCTTTCCAAATCTATTTTATTTTAAAGAGAAAAATACAAAAATTGCAAAGCACAATAATTGAGGGTAACAATGTTATGTACATTGCATATTATATATATACATACATATATATATATATATATATATATATACACACACACATATAGATACATTGTTTCTTTCAGCTTCTAACACTAGTGAGACAATAAGATGTTAACACATGTATGTCTGATTTAGGAAGTGTTACTTTCAATGTACATTTTATTAAAACACCTAACAAACACAAATGGAGTACCATTTTGAAGGCAAGCATTGACTTTCATTTGTATGACTTTGTCAAAGAAAAGTTTTCTGTTTTTATTTTCATGCAAAAGCAATAGCAGTCCAATGTGGCATAAGAACCTGATGTCAAATCCACCCTTTCAAATGTAAATCACTGTTAATAATAGGAAGAAAGACTTATTTTTAAAGCCATATTAATATTTTGTACTGTTTACAACTTGCACTCTGCATATATAATACTTTTATAATTAAATCACTAAAAATCTGTATTTTAAACATAAAAGTATTTTGACTAGTAAAAATCAACTCATTTATGGAATACATGATATCTAACATACCCACAATTTTTCAAAACAATGAGAAAATAGTCAAACAGAAAAAATTCTCAGAAGTCATTCAAACAACTTATTTTTTTCTAAATAAAAATCAGACTTACTCTTTCCAAGGTGTTGTATTTTGCAACTTCAAAATCTTGAAAATAATGAGGAATTTTAACATTCTTTGCATAAAACCTGAAATTTATATAATTAAAATTTTACATTAAAATGAATTTTTAGGATAAACAAAATTTTATAATGGGTTCCCCTGATTCCCTGTAAAATACATTTGTAAGCCATTACTGCCTCCTTAGGTTGTCTAGAAATGGTTAGAAGATCATGAGACGTGAGCTGCATTTCTCCTCTGCATAGTTTTGAAAAAGAAATTTTAAGCTTGGAATAGCACACATGTAATTTCAGCACCTGGGAACAGAATCCACAAGTTCAAAGCCAACCTAGGCAACTCAGAGACTTATGGAGGTCTTTGCTTAAAAGAATCACTATTTTTTTAATTGTACATATGTAAGGAGTACAGTGTGACAATTTGATACATGCATATAATATGTAATGATCAAATCTCAGCAATTACTTCCTCCATCTCCTGCATAATTCTCAAGCTCTGCTGCCCAGAACTGTGACATCTACACTAGAAGGCAGGTGTGCACCAAGGAAGCACAGAGAGAACCACACTGGGGCTGCCTGGCATCTGACACTCCTCTTTGTTTTTTTTTTCCAAACTGAGGATTGAACTCAGGGCCTCACACATGCAAGGCAAGGTACTGTACCACTGAGCTGTATGCCTAATGTTTTTTATTTATCTATTTTTTATTTTGAGCCAGTGTCTCTCAGTAAGCTGACCAGTCTAGGCTAAACCTGACACTCTCTTGCCTCTGCCTCTCAGAGCTGTTGGCATTACAGGTGCATGCCACCATGCCTAACTTCAACTTCTCTTTAAATTATAGGACTCTAACTTAGCCACACTTTTTATTTTGGATTTTGTTCTCTCTTAACACTACTATTAGCATATAAATGTATATAAAATACAACCAAATGCAATGCCTAATTAACACTGCATTTTTAAGAAACCACACAGAATTTTACTCACATAACCTACTTGAGAAAAGTGGTTACTTTCATTTTTAAAACTAGCAGATAAAAAGTTACAACTGTCTTTATTTCAAAGGCTTTTCAAGAAGGTAATCAAGTGAACAGTACTTGCTTACTGCTCTAATCTTATTGCCAGTTGAGATCTTTAAAAAACAGTAAAACTTAACAATTATATCCCATCACATACAATAAGAAAGTAAAAGTAATTATCATTATAACAGTAAAGCCTTACACAAAAAATTAACAGATAAAGAAAACAAAAAACTGCAAAGGGCTGCAAATAGTATTTTAACATTGAAACATTTGGGTTACTCAGTTATTTCCACGGTTTCTTCCTCTGCAGCACTGTCCAGGGAAAGACTGTCTGTTTTCACTTCTAGAATGAAAGCAAACAAAGTATCTAGTTATGGTTTAAAACTTCATTATAATTAACCTAACTGCTGGAATTGTTAAGATTTCTAAATATAGACCATGTTTGCCGTGCAATTCTATTTTTTTGTTTGTGTTAAATGATGTGCTGTTACTGATAATCTGTGGATAAAACAAGTGAGAAAAAGGGAGGGTGTGTAAAATACTGAGAATACTATAGGCAAAAAGGAAGAATTCTAATCTAATCTGTATTATTTGAAACTCACTGAGACGGGGTCTGTCTATATAGCCCCAGCTATCCTCAAGTTTGAAATCTTCCTGCCTCAGCCTCCAGAGTGCTGGGATAACAGATGTGGACTACATCATCCAACCTACAGGATTTTCAAATGGCACACTTCTCTCCTAAAGATCATGGTAAGTTGTTATAAAACCTATTTCTAACATACCCCAGGATCAGAATACGTTCCAAATGTCATGTGTTGGGAGCCGCAGCCCCGAGCCCGGTCGCCTCACTTGGCGGACGTGAGGCCTGTAGTAAAGAGTAAAGCCTGAGGTAGATTACCCCTCCCATCGAGCACGTTAGTTTCCTGCTTACCGCGTAAACAACCCGCTCAACAATATAGTCTGCCTGGCAACTGATGATGTTAGCCAATCAGCTTGCCTTGCTTACTTTAACATGATTGGACACTGTATCCGTATATATACTGGTGCCACCCCTGGGGGGGAAAAAGAAGCCCGGAAGTAGAAGCCCAGAAGGAGCCGCGGGGAGCGGACCAAAGGAGGCTTCGGCTGGGAGCGATCCCAGGGCAGGCTGTACGGAGAAGGAAAATAAAAAAAAAGGTTGTCCACTGCCAGACTTTGTTGTGTGTCCTTCCTGCCGGCCGGGAGTGACACCGACAGTCATGTAACAAATGAAGCGATTAAAGGTTATTCTGATTTAGAGGAGGGGAATTCAAAGGCTCTGTGTAAGGTTTTGTTTTGTAATTTTCTTATAATCTTGACATTATCTATAGAATTTATGATATATAGGAACAAATCTTCATTTTTTAAATTATCTTTTGTGGTGCTGGGATTTGAACCCAGGCCCTCATGTTAGCAGGCGCTCTACAACTATGCTACTACCCTGGCTCCTGTTTTAATTATACTATTAAGATTTCAAAAATTATCAGTGCATCTGGAGTAACTAAGATCCATTCTCGATAGTGGACACTGTTTTCAATTTTAAAAGAGACCTCTCACCATGCCTGTTTGTCTTAGCTGTCTTTTTCTGAGACAACAGAAAGTCAAAGACTATAGCCCCATTTCTCTACAACTGCTTATCAAGAGACGTTTCACCTTACCAAAATGTTTACTGTACTAACAAGTGTTTATTATAAATTTTTGTATATAAGAACTGCTTCAATCTTGCTTATTTTTCACGTGTTTTCTATGTTCTCCAGCTTGTCTCACGCTTCTGAGCTTGAGTGATCCTCCTGCCTCAGCTTCCTGAGTAGCTAGGACTATAGGCACATGGCCCTGTATCTGACTCAACTGACTGATTTTGGGATGTGACTCATGAAGCATTTATTCCTCTAAGTCCAAAGGCTTTTGTTTTGGCCAGATTCTAAAATAAACTCTATGTTTGTAAATGAGATATGTTTCTTTCAGGAACTTTTGGAAGAAATTTCTTCAGTAAAATGCTTGTCACAAATTCTCAGTGAGCCAGGCATGGTGGCACACATAGTGAAAACTTGTCTCAAAAATAAAACACACACAAAAAAGTTTTTCCCCCTCCCATTTAAAATTATATATTGTTTTCTAAGGTTATTAATATCTGTGTATTCATTTTGAATCTGGACCTCACTAGATTGGATATTGAGACATTTATTTCTATTGTCAAATTAATCTTTCTTCACTATTGTGCTGCCCATTTTCTGAAGTAGTAAGAAATCTGATTCTCTCTGCAGTATTTCTGGACTTCTGTCAATAATATCTTCAGCAAACCCACACATCTACCACAGTATGTTCAATACTACAAGGGCTATCTATGAGTACCTACCAGAAAAGCTTGTCTTGTGACCAGGAGATGACACGATGTCTCGTGACTCAACAGAATCACAGCCCTTCAGATCCAACAGTCTCTTTTCTTTGATACATTCCCATATAAAATCTGGACTTGCCATATAAATGTGGTTCTTTCGGAAATAGTTCATTTGATACTCACTCAGGACATCAGCATTATCTAAGATCACATGTGTGCACTAAGAAAAAAGTCAATCTGTTAATCATTAGTGAAAACAAAATTTAAGTGGCACATTATTTATACTGCATACTCATTCTTGTATCCTTAAAAAAATCTTGTTTTAAAATAGTTTGCAATAATTTTTCCTCATATTTTAAAACATTTGTTTTATAATTTCTAGGTATGTAAAAAATTGTAAGAGTGTACCTGTATGTGTTTTACAGAGCGGAGTATGGCACCCGGGGCCTTGAGGTATACTCGCAGACCCCAAATGAACAGCTTTTAAAGAGCACAGATAGGGACATACAACAACTGATAACCAACTCTGGAGACTGTTTCTAGTTGTCACTAGGGTAACAATATTGTGATGAATATCCTTATCTGTACACCTCATTCATTTACCCCTTTAGGAATAGAAAAAGAGGTTAAGAATAGTTGTCCTTTACTATTTTAAATTATTTGTAATTTTATTTACATGCAATATAAAATATGTCAAAAGTAAAATAATAATTTCACTAAGTTTTTCCCATTATTTGTTTCTCTCCCCAGAACTATCTGCTGTACTTTGTTCCTCATCTATTTTTCTAGAGCTATTTTCTGCACAGACAACTCACACTTAAGTTCACAAATGGAGGCATACTATCCATAGTCTCTGTCTTGGAGCTCATTTCCCATCTTTACCTTATAGAGATACCTCCTTTTTTTTTAAACAGGGTCCTGCTAAATTGATCATATTGGATTTGAATTTGCCATCATCTTGCCTCAGCCGCCTGAGTAGCTGGGATTACTGGCATGCCCCAACATACTCATCTCCTTCTTTATAATAGTTATATGCACTTTTCAAATGTCTACTTACATTGGTAAAGAAACTTTCAAAAGGTTGCATCCACAATATGTGAGAGTTTTTAAGAAGGAAAGTAAGCCTGTTCACCATTCAGAAGACAAACTGAGAAGGCGGAAGGGGTGTGGATTACCCATCCACCCACATAATGGTGAGGCGAGTGAGTGCAGGGAGCCATCCAAGGGAAGCACACACAATCCTGCCTACACTGCAGGTAACAGACCTCCCATCTGTAGGATTCCACTGCAGGGAACAGGCCTCCCATCTGTAGGATTCCGCTAGACTGGAACTCTGTTCCACTCAGTGAGCCCACACCAGGGCTGTACTGGGAGAGAGAGGCTGGGTGCTCCTCACCCTACCTCAAAGGAAAGGAGCAAAGCGCAAAGGGAGGGGTAGGCAGGCCCAGAACCAAGTGCCTTAGGACCTCAGTTGTTATTTTGTATAATGAAGTGGTTTATAAAGCTATTAGCTGCAATTGTTTCCAAAGTTTCACCCTGCTGTGAACTCCCATATATTAAACTCTCAGGCCTACTGTTCAGGAGATGGAAGGTTGCTTCCTTCCCCGCCTTACATAAATAAGACAAAGAGCCAAGCTATATCACAAAAAATAGTTTACATGGCATATTTTCCTTTGCCCCAGGAACCACATTCCCAAGTGTGCTTTCAGTGATAACTTACTGGTGACTCTGGTATGCTTCACTAATTTTGTGTACTACGAATTCCACCCTTTGAGAACAGCGTTGGCTAAACTGAAATTTAGTTTACGGCTTTGTCTGTATTTAGATCCCCAGGACGTGTGGAACTGTCCCACATCCTCCCAAAAAGCAAAGAACAGTCTGCTAGTGGATGTCTCCTGCCTCTCCAGGACTACCTCTCAAATGGAGATGGCAGTTTTCCTGCTCTCTCAACTTTCTAGCACTGTAGACCTCCTCTGTTTACTTCTCTCAGCATGACTCTCTCCAATCACACCACATTCACCCTGTGAGATGTGTAAATACCTGAGGATTTAATGAAAACGAAAACTTTCCACCGTTCTCCTTAATGTCAATTTGCAGCTTTTTCTTTTGCTGACGAGGTAAGTATTTAACTTTCAAACAGAAAATACAATTGGCAAAGATTCCCACAGTCATCCTGAAAGAAAAAAGTTTCAAGTGAGTTTTTAAGGAAATGCTTTTCTGTCAACATAAAAGTTGACAATGAATTTAGATTCTTCCTCCAAGCAAACTGGTGGGAAATTGGGTATTAAAGGAAAAAAATATTGCAGCCGAGTGATGGCACGTATCTATAATCCCAGCAATCAAAAGTATGAGGAAAAAGAACTGCCACAAGTTTGAGCTTTGCCTGGGCTACATAGTGAGTTTAAGGCCAGCTTGAACAACATAGCAAGACTCTATCATGAAAAACAGAAAACAAACAAAGATATTGCAATGCTATAATTACAAAATTACTATCCTAGCTTGTAGTATGTGTGTTGGTGTTAGAGTCATTTTTGGTTTTTAGGGTTATCATGAAGAAAAATTAAATCCTTTGGACAACCTCATAATGTATGTCTTGGTGAAGATGTGACAAACTTCAGTTACACATCAAGAGTGTGGTTCAAGGAGCATTTATTTCTAAAGTAAAAATTAATACTATGTAAGAGTTAAGCCATGGATTTTTACAGATAATTATTCTGTGAAATCAGAGAGGCTCATAAGGCTAGCTATGTAGCTGATGGGTAATATGCTCCCTGGTAATGAAGCCTTGAGTTCAATCCCTACTATTGAAAAAAAAAAATTGCGGGAATCAATTGTTGTATGGGTTTCTGTTAAGCCACACAACTAATGTTTAACTAAAACATATATGTTATGCATACGCATATATATGTTGATACATTTAAGGTTCCCTGAATTCTTTTACTGTGCCATATACAGTGGCAAGTAAGAAAAAGAATTACCTCTCAGACAAATAAGCAGTGCTCAGGATGTACCTAAGTGATAAAACCCTTTGCCTTGATTACAAGGCAATAAGCTTCACCCCAGCACCCCCCAAAAAAAAGGAAAGCGTACTTTGAGATTGAACATTCTATTTAATAACAATAAATAGTGAGGTGCTGGATTTAGTTTCCAGGAGCTGCCCATTTTTTTTTGAGACATGATTTTCCTAAATCTCTAAATTGCCCAGGATGGGATTGAACTGTAGGTCCTCCTGCCTCCACCTCTGAGCGCTAGGGTTACATGTGTGTGCAACCACACCAGCAGTTGTCAATTTTTAAAAATGGAAGTCAAATCTACCTTTGTCCCCAGGGTAAAGCTGCCTTTTGATGAAGGCAGTTCTGGTTCAGCCCAGCACTAGTGCAGGCCCTTCCAACCCCGGCCCTGGGCACACAACGCTGGACCTCATTCAGGCCCTACCTGGCCCTGTTCCCTCTGGGTGATAGGCGGTGGCACCCAGAGGTTCCCAACACCAGAAGCAATGCCAAAGGTCCCAGCCACACCCCAGAGCTACACTTCAGGTTTATACAACTTAATTTTATACCTATACTCTCACTTAACCTTTAACGAGACTTTCTCACGTAAGTATCTTTAGTGCCTACATAACTAAACTTTTGTGTTTATTTCATTCTATCCCAAGTCCCTGGACGTTTGGTTATATAAACTTGTTCACTATTTTAATGCCACGGTGAGGGAAATGTTTAGACACATATTTTGGGCCAAATCTCTTTGTCACTTTTTCCTTAGAAAACAGGACGAGAAGTCGATGGAATTACTGAATCCATAAGAATACACATTTGCCAGTCTTTTAAAAAATTGTGGTAAGTCTATACTTAGCAAAAATGTACTATATTATCCTACTTTTTTTTTTTTTTTTTTTATAAACAGGCTAGCCATCAGGCTGGCAGACTTCCAGCAAGGCTCGGACATCTCAGGCTCGAGGTTCGGACTCCGAGTCCGCCGGCTCAACTCCAAGCCCCTCTCCGCTCCTCCCACAAGACCCCACGAAACCCCGCCCACGCCGGGGGGATCCCACCGCGGCCTGGCCTCGGAGACATGGAGGACAAGGGGCTCCCGAGGACGGCCAACAACCCGCTGCGCCCACGCACCTGCCAGAGGGCCCTCGGTACCGAGACCAGCGACTGCACTGCCTTTTCTGGTGCTTCCCTGCCGGGACTCCTTCCGGGTCCAAGGTTGGGCGGGCGAGGAGGGGCGAGGGGCGGGGAAGGGGCGGAGCAGTGCCTGGAGACCGGCGACAGGGTGGGACGCGGTGGGGTTTAGGGTCGGGAGCGGGGCGGAGTGAGGGCCGTGCTCGGGATGGGGGACGGAGGGGACGAGAGGGGTGGGGAGGGGGTGCAGAGAGGGAGGGTGTGGCTGGGCCTCCAGACGCTGCACAGTGGGCTTCGGGGCAGGGGGCAGGGAGGGGAGGGGCGGGTGTGGCCCGGCCTCCAGACCCGCACTTGGGAGGAGAGCAGCGGGACTTCTGGGCACCAGGACTTTGGCGGACCCGTGCCATCACCTGCCAGTATCAGGCCCTCCAACGAAGGCCAGGCCATGTTGGTTTCTCTTTTAAATTCAGTCTGCAAGTTCAGGTCTTTCAGTTTGATCTCCTGACCCAAGTGTTTCTGGTGGGAACAAATCCAAGATTCCAGTGAGGAAGGAGGGGAGCGTGCGAGGGAGTAGGGGATGGGGGGAAGTTCCCGGGTCTGGAGCTGTGAGTGTCCAGGTCCTCACTAGGACTGTTGGGGCGCTCAGAGGAGAGAGGTGCTGGGGGGCTGCAGAACAACATTGAGGTCACTGAGGCGGGAGCAAGGGGAAGAGTCTGGTTTCCATCAGAGACTAGCACCTCACAGAGCAGGAGGACATAGAATTGAATCCTAACTCAAACCTTTGTCAGCTTGTGGGGAGGAGTGCACAGGGCCCTCTACCTGGAGCTTTAAGGTGGTCCTTACAATCTGCTTTACAAGATGGTGTGAGAACCAATTTAGATGAAGGCAGCAAAGATAGCACACCAGGGAGTTCTGGATCGATCCCTTCCCAGGGATATATTTTTTTTAAAAGAAAAATGATAGAATAAAACTACCCCCCCCAATAATAGAGACAGCCGGCATAGTAGTGCAGGCCTGTGATCCCAGCTGACAGTGGGGGATCTCTGCGAGTTCAAGGCCCACCTGCACTACGTAGGGAGAC